CGCTAGCTGGGGTGGCAACAGGGGTGGCGAGGCTCTCTTTTGGGGTGGCAACTGCCACCCCATGCCACCCCAGTAGATCCGCCCCTGCGTCCAACTGCCCCCCTTTCCCCTATGAGACCAGGACGACGCGTCCCTTATTTTGATTTCTGAAAATAAGGTGGCAACCCTAACGTTGACCTAAACAAGCTTAGCATTTTCTTACCAAACCGAATCTCTCGAAACCTGTGCTTATCCAGCTGTCGGTAAAAGTTCACGAGAAAAAGCTGCTGGTGCCGACCGCGGATCTCTGCGTCAATCTGCAGCTCAATGAGCTCCAGCTGCAAATGGTCTGAGTCACAGGGCTGCTGCCCTCTAGTGGGTAAATGAGGAACAGCATTTAGTGTGTAAGCTCCGCCCTATGCAGGTAACGTTACTGCTGCCCAATGTATTAATTCTACGTGCGGGCCAGACGTTATTGATTTTATGACAGAGGCTGCGGGCCGGATGAAATTTGACCACGGGCCGCATTTGGCCCCCGGGCCGGACTTTGGACATGCCTGCTGTAGCAAATAAAATATTCAGCAAAGTTTCCAGAAAGACCCGAATTATACAACGCTGCTGCTGAATACATCCACATGAACCAGACTTTTGTCTAGACTTAAAAGGTTTTTAATGTGCCACATCCATGTTTGTTTTGAACACAATGTACTTTAATACAGATTGATTCTGTACTTGCTCCTCAGTTGTACAATTTACTGCATCAACATCAAATTGACAACCAAATGGAAGCACTCAGTGAAGATGAGGAATTATGGTAAAAATATCTACATAAGGGGTTGACTAGACAATTCTTTACTCTGCAATGGCTTTTTAAGTGGCTAGTTGCAATTGTGTGACAAAACTGATTTTTTCAGAAGATGAACTTGGTGAGTTTGTTAGATAGTTTGAATTGTATGAAATTATAAGTAGTACTGATAACTAGTGGTACTGCAAACTCCGGCAAAGGATACCGGAATAGGAGTGCTGCATGGCGCCATGGTTAAAGCAGGTGCCCTATGTAGACGCTGTCCCGAGCTCGACTCCCATTCCCATTCTCTTTACCTCATGCACTCCCCGCTCGCCTCCTGAGCTGGCAGAGGAGTAGCAGGTGGCTGCACTGAATTTTACTGTCATCAATGGTGATCCATTCTTAAGCTTAGTTTATGATGCTTCCAAGGCACAATTGTGGTAAACATACTCATGGCCATCGGATCATCAATATCAGACTGATAATACTTAGTCTAAGTGGGATTTTTGGCAATGTTTGCTGTGTAGACATTTTGTCTGCTGTTTTGCAAAACAGGAAAGTGACTCTTCTTTGGTTTAACATTTTTCAAAACAATAATTTAATCATCTCCTTTTTATTGGTTTTTCCCTAATTAAGGAAGCTAACATTTTGCAATATTGTAATTAATCATATTTTTGTTCTCAACTAGAAAGAAGTATGTTCCTTCACAAAATGTTGCCATTGGACCAAAAATTATATTGAGCATTTCTCTTGGTATCTGTAACAAGATTGAAATGTTTGTATGGTGACAATCCTGTGGCCTAGGCTTTGTCCTGAGTGGACCAAACTACAATGGAAGTATTCCTTTGCCGTCAGCTTGAGAGTTATTTAGAGTTCATTTTATTGCAAGCATTGCTTACTTTTAACCAACAATCTGATTGTTGAACAAGTTAATGAATTTTAATCACAAGCAACTTAGCAGTACAACATAACATAATCATCATAATTAAAAAGCAAATATCTAATACAGACAGCTAATATGCTGCACGGTGAAAGGTCCTGGGTTCAAATCCCAGCCTGGCATCTTTCTGCATGGAGTTTACATATTCTGTTATAACGACATTGTCTCATTTCCATCAAGAACAACGTACAGTAGATTTCTTGCCAGAACAGCTTTTTTAAAGATTAAAGTGAAAAAGAATGTAAAGATTTGGCATGTTAACAAGCATTTTAATAAAGATATACAGTAAACTGTTCTTGAATATGATAGAACTAGTATCTGTAGTTCTAGTTTCATATCAATGCTCCATCCTATGTTTTGAAAATACTCTAGATGTTTAGGGGGAGTAAGTGCAACTCCTCTGCAATACCTGAAGTTCTTGACATGGTCCTCCACTGCACTGAGGTGCAGTGTGTGGGTCAGAGCCTGCTGGTAGGTTAGAGCCTGGGTCGACGAGCCCCAGTTCACATCTGCAAAGGCGGACACACGCAGGCAAAAAACACACTGGAGTTAGTCAATGTGTTTATGGATCAGTCTGCCAAGCTAAAGGCCATGTGACCCATGCAGCGCTACAGTCAGAGAAAAGGCCTACTCTGTGTGTGTAGCTGCATGTCAAACTGTGTGAACACATGTGTGTGTTCCCAGCTTTGTGTTTAGCGGGGTACAGATCAGTGCTTCATGTTACTTAGGAAAAATTTTTCCTCCTCCAAATTCTGGTTTTCCAACAGCAAAGCTACATTCTGAACAACTTTTCTGGAACACTGGAGAGTCTGGTCCAATTCGGTCTTACTCCACAGAAATGAGAGATTGATCTCCTGTCCTCATCCTCAGAGGATGAACTGATATTGCCGTCAGCAGAACTTTATGAGCTGATTACAGAGTGTTTTTCTTTACAAAAAAAGCATATTTGTTCTCTACTGTTACTGATCCACAGCCAAGGAGAAAAACATTTAAATTTAAAGCCAATCCTATTATATTCTGCCTCTAAATGTTCACTTGATATGAACATTTAGATATTGTTTATATGTAAATTTAGCAAACAACAAAACATCTTAAGCAGTTTAGTGCAAAGGTCCTGAGAATGGCATACAGAGAACAGTTTTACTGAAATACATCATATTATTGGTCACATCTGCAAAAACAAGAACGTACCTGGCTTTTTGTGACTCACATAGATGTAGAGAGCCATAACAATGACATTAGTGAGTAGAGCAGCCGCCCAGTTGATGACAAACATCACCACACAGCACAGCACGGCTCCAGCAAGCGAAACCCACATGTTGTAGTATTTGAAGCTGGGACGCCAGCCTGGAGTAGCAACAACAATTTATTACAAGAAGAGAAAGTTTGGGCCATGAATGTACGATGCTGTGGGATAGTTAGCAGTTAACAAAAAAAAAGATCATATAATGAAGCGAAGATACATATTCTCTTTAAGCTTGGGACAAATTCTATTAGAATAATTAGAATTAGAAGAAGGGGCACCGTTCTCCATATAAGGTCATGGTCTCTAAAATAGTAAACAGAGCTTTAAGGGCATGGACAACAAATGCTTGGGTTAAACAATGAAAATTAGAAGGCTATTAGACTCAGGACTATAAGGTTATAACAGCTATTAACAGGATAACATTTAACACAAAGCTAGACGGACTTTAGTGATGGCATATAACTGCTGTGTGTTACAGAAAGAGTCAACAACAAACCAAAGGACATAAACGGTACACTGGAATCTCTCATTTTCCCATGAAGGGTTTATGGTTCCCAGAGGGAGATGGAGTTGGAGGGGGGGAGATCGGAACACAAAACTGGTTTTCCAGCTTGTGGGTCCAGATGCAGGACAAACCATTCTGTCTAAATGAGTCATGTACCATTTAGGTCCAGATGACCTGCTGCAGATATTAGAAACGGATAAATAATCTGTACCTGTTGGTCTGCACAGGATTTGATATAGAAGGAGGAAAGAGCACAACTTAATAAAATACCATCTACTCAGCAGTAAAACGTATTTTAAATAACAAATTAGACAGTTCAACTCCAAAAAATGTATTTCAAAACTGCAGTTATTTTAGGAAAGACAAACAAAAACATAGCAGCAGAGCTCTGGTCAGGAATGTGATTTGACATTGCGTTTGTTTTCATATTGTATATTTATTTCATTTTAAACCTATATCTCACTTTGCAGCCTGCCTGTGCAGCCATCTCCTCTTTCCTTCACAATGCGCAAGCACACGTCAACAAATCCTGTTGTGTGGAACTGAGTGAATGGAGAAGTTTGATTGTTGCGGTGGAAAATTACCTCAGGGGTAGGGCTGTATAATTATATCAATTCTACGATATTTATTGATTCCCCCCTCACCCCCAGTCAAAAACTGGCTTTTCCAGTTATGCGACAGGGAATGAGCTTCCAAACGTAAAAAAACAAAACGCAATATTAGATTCCTTTGTTTTTGGAAATCTCAAATCTCAAATGAGGAATTGCCTTCATTTTCATGTCAATGTTATAAAACTGTGTTGACATATATCGCGATATTTGGCAAATGATACAATTCAATACGATTCAATGCACTTTTACAATTTTCTGAAAGATTTTGGAGGGACAGAGTGATTTTGGAGACATTTTGTGTTCCATATACTTGGATATCATATAATGTATCGTATCGTGAGATTATTATTATTATTATTATACAATAATCTCACGTTACAAAACATATCACGATATTGGGCAAACAATACAATTCGATACGAGTCAATGCACTTTTACAATTTTCTGAAAGATTTTAGAGAGACAGAGTGATTTTGGTGACATTTTGAGTTCCATAGACTTGGATTTAATTAGCTGAAAACTGATTAAAAGCACCAATTACACAATACCCGACTCTGATTGGACTGAGACTTAGAATCTACAGCTGGACAAAATGAATCAAAGATGCGGTGAGAAAATTTGTTTCCGTCATTTAATTCATGTGGATTTGACATAAAACTCAAAGTTTCAACAGTGATCCGGGAGCTGAGTGGGGAGATTATCAGCCTCTGTAGACTCTCAATATGCAAATGATTGTATTTATGTTTTTCTTTTGGACGTACTTTGGCTGCATTTTGGACTTTGAGTCACAGAAAAACAAAACCCGATTTGGAAAAATTGTAATTTTTTTTTCCATTATGAAACGCTCAAATATTCATAACAAATGGTTTTTAAAATTTAGAATGACAATATATACTGTACATTTATTAAACTGATGTAAAAAATATTGCAAGCAACACAATTTTATAACATCAGCATGAAAATGAAGGCAATTCCTCATTTGTTTGTATGCAATTTTTGACAAAACATCATAGGTCAAAATAAGTTGCCAAAAAATTTTATAATTGTGTGTTGGAGAGGAGGTGGAGGGGTGAAAAAAGGTATTTTGTACTATGGGGATAAGGCTTTTCTACCTTGACTCCCAGAGTTAGCCGTGGCTATAAGCTGTTTACTACTAGCTGCTGGGGGAGTGGCTCTGCCTCACCCCATAGTGATCGACTCCTTGCAGCTGCGCAGCGCCGCCATTCCCCTGCTTGGATCTCTGAGTAGCTGCCTCTCAGACTACCAGGATCTCATCGTACTCTCAGTCTCTGATACTGTTCGTCAGTTGCTAATAAGAATGATCGATCTGCCATCGTCATCATGGCAATCCTCACAGCACCGCGGATTCCGGCTGCAGGTTTCCCCTCTTCATCTTCCAGCTCAAAACAGAGCGCCGCTACCTGCTGTACATTGATTCTTCAGGTAATCCTTTATATACAGAACAGAAACCACTAAGCTAAAAACAAATTACGAAGTGGATGCCACCAGTCGCTCCAATATCCAAACTATGCATTAATTTCATGATCTCACTGTATTTGTCGCTACTCCATTTGCGCCGCTACATCATTCTGCTTCTCTTTCACAGTTACTTGCGCAACTTTACTTCGTTTCTTAGCAACAAAACACAGCCCATCGTTATTTATTGAAGATTTGAGATTTCCAAAAACAAAGGAATCTAATGTTGCATTTCGTTTTTTACGTTTGGAAGCTCATTCCCCGTCACATAACTGGAAAAGCCGGTTGTTGACATTTCTCTGACATTTGGAAAAATACGGTTTACTTAATTTAGCACAACTCTGGTTTTACTTGGTCTATTAACACAATTTAAAAACTGGTGTGTAGTTTATAATGTGCACTTTAAGCACAAGTTGGAAGTGAAACTGGGGGAGGCGGAGTCTTGCTGCTGCGCCGTCACAAATCAGACATGTTAAAAAGACGCATGGTTTAACGTATCAGTACTCGCGTATGAAAAATCAATATCTTCCAAGGAGGGAAAAAATAAATAAATCGATAAATATCGTAGAATCGATATAATTATACAGCCCTAATCGCTACTGGTAGTAATATTCCACAGACGTAGCACCGCTCAACCTCCATTTGGCACTGAACTCTCACACGGAATGTCTGCTTAAGATCGGTGATCGGCAGAGATCGGCCTCGTGGATGATCGGAATCAGAAGCAAAAAACCTGAACGGAGCATCCCTATTAGACCATGCTAAGATCTTTGGAAAAACTCCACAATATGGTCATCATCCTCACCAGTCCTTATAGGCTGCGAGTCAACAGTAGGAATACATGCTTCTGCTTAGGATCAGTTGATACTCTAGTCACTCGCTTTAATTCTTGATAATGTTTCATCACATTTACATTTTAGTACAATTTAACTTCAAATTTAAAATCACTAATTCAATGTAATTAAATTACGTGTAGAAAACCTCCAACATTGTTTAACATTCTTAGCTTAACATGTTTTTATGCTGGTTTTCACTTTTTGCACTTTGATCTTACCCGGAGAGTTGGCCAGAGATGCGTGGAACACAGAGAAATTGATCAAGGCGTAGGATGCCAGGAAAAAGTTGGAGATAATTGGCGCAATTGTGTTTAACTCAGCTGGAAACAGAAGAAACAGAAACTTATAAAAAGGATTATTTCCACTTCCTCTCCAACTGTCTTACTCAACAGTATGATGGGTTATTAAAAATACTACACTTTCAAACAAAATGGATACCAGAGAAAAGTTAAAACCTCTTTTTAGAGGGGAAAGTCATAAAGCACTGTACAACATAAATCACAGTTAAGTTGTCAAAACAAGCCTAAGAAGCAACAAGTCTGGGAAAACACTTTTTAAAAACATCTTCAGAGTCAGCAAAACAGACCTGCACAGATGGTCCCCCCGAGTGTCCAACTAAATATAACGGAAGATTTTAGGTTTGGGAGCTACGAGCAGCAGTGTTAGTTAAAAGCTGACACAAATAATCAAGAACTTGGCCAACAACTTTTAAGCCAAATTCTAAAATCCACTAGGATGCAGGACAGTGCACCGGGTGATGCCAATACTTTTACTGGATCTGGTGAGAAGTCTGGCTGCTGTGTGCTGAACAGCTCGCAGACGAGAGACCGACCATCTGTGCAGACTGGTGAAAGAGCATTATAGCATTCCAGGCTGATGACACAAAAAAATGTGTCATATTTTGGAACTATTGTTATTAAAATTAAAGCCACATAGGCTTTGTTAATCAAAACCTAATGTGGATTAAATGCAACTCCTAGATATATTTTTTTAGCAATTTAAGATATGAACATAATAAATTTAAAACTATTTCAGAAGCCAGTGAGATATGATAACAGTTTGAAAGTATAAAATCCCCTGATGAGCTTTTTATGCTTTTAAGCTATTGTTATTCAGATATGGTTACCATAAACTTTAGCTGTACAAGTTAGTGTGAAAAATGCAAAAGTAAGCAAAGAGAGTGGCGTACCGATTAGGATGAAAGCCAGAGCGATGCCGAAAGTCAAGATGTAGCCTCGAAGAGGCTCATTGTTCTTCCCGTATCCTTTGGCAAATATTCCAATATAAGGGTAGATGTTGTCTTTACATAAAGCCTGCAAAAAAAAAAAAAAAGCTATGTCATTTCATATCTTAAAGAACATAGAACTAATACGTACACAGGGATAAACAGTTTGGCAGTAGCATAATGTATTAGTTATGCCGGTGCATGGGTTGACTCTTACTTGGAATACTTTAGGCGCGCTCACTAAAGAGGCCAGAGCAGAGGACAGAGTGGCAGAGAAGATTCCAGCTGAGATGATGGGAGAAAAACCTGAAACCAAGCTCATCACCTGAAGCAACACAGAAACAAAGTCAACTTTCTTATGTTTCCATCTAGGAAATACATGGCAAATTCATGTAGCTATTTGTATGTGCCAAGTGTGACTTTGTGTGCATTCATTCTGAAACCAGATTCAAGGGAAAATCTGGGTTGGTTGAGGGAGTTTGCATGACAAAACCTCAAAACCTTTTTTCGGTGTTACTTATTTCCATAGACCATATGTAGTAATTTTATAATCCGATATATTTGCCATTTTAATTAATGCTTTATCTCTCCCAAGATATAAAGCATCTTGGGATGCTTTATATCTTGGGAGATATAAAGATATATCTCCCAAGTGGAATATAAGTGGATTGAGGACCACTTGTGATTGGTCCTCAATCACAAGTGTTGCACCCAATGGATATGAAGTAATTTACATAATATAGCCAAGCAGAGCATGTGTGTGGGTTTGTTGTGAAGTGTTAGTGTTCTGTGGGCCAGTTGAACAAGTAGGGAGGAGGATAGGCCTGCCAGCACACATGAACAAAGAGCAGGAAGTTCAACTTGGTAGCATTGTTTGTATCTGTATGTATTAAGGTCTCTCTGATTTGGGCCTTTTACACAGAATGAAAACATTATAGTGCTTTGAGAATTGCTTGGTTGGAGTTTAACCCAATTCTCAGCATAATAAAAAACATTAACAAATTGTTCTTTTATTGATGCTGGTTCATACCTGGAAGTCATAATGGAGTCCATAGCGGCAGTTTTTTTGGCTCTTGCAGCTAGAGAAATCAAAGCCAAACTTGCAGGAAGCACCAGTGCAGTTTGCACTGAACTGTGTGCCGATTGTGTCATTCAGATTTCCACTGGCATCTCTCACAATGCAGGACCCTAAAGTCAGAAAAGCAGAACACACATAAGATGCATCCTCAAAACAAAGGGGGTGAAAACTGCCAACAGGAGAGCAGAGTGTACCTGTTGAAACTGCGACCCCCAAGTAGACAATGCCTGTAATCAATATGGCAAGTAGTGTTCCTTTGGGGATTGCCATCTGTGGGTCCTGCAACAAACACATGCAACAAAACCTACAAATATTGACTCAGCTATAACAGAAATAGCTCTGTTTGCTCATGGATGACAAACAATATTGAAATTATCGTTTAAACAATTGCTCATTTTGTTTAGAAACTCATTCCAAACAGCACCAAAAAAAAACAAACTGCAAAGTGGAATTTGATTAAATAATTTTAATGATTAGGTTTTATAGCTAATTACACAATTATTTTAGACTGAGATTAAAAATAAAGTTGAAATAAAACTCTGAAGGTTGATCCACCAACCTTCTTGTTGGATCAACAAGAAGGTTGTAGGTAGCGATTGCAGTTATTTGGCCAATCACTGGCAACCAGTCATTAAAAAACCTGATAGTGGCAATTCCAATTTTGGTCGATACCAATGTTTTTTGTCTGAAATGTTGCTCAGCATATCAAGAAAATTATCAACAGTGTAGTGACTACTGTTTACTGCAAATGTGCAGACATTGGTTGATTTTTAAACCTTTGTTGAGATAGATAAGATTGGATTCACGTGCAAGTATCAGCCGACCACCAATTTCCCAAACTTAAGGAAATCACCGCAGATAAATTTGTTGGCCAATAAATCGGTGCACCCCCAGTTGTAGGGTTCTGACATTTGACACCTATGTGTACCTTAAGTGCATCTACCTTTAGTCACATTGATTACTGCAACAGTGTCTTCACAGGTCTGGCTAAAAAATTTAAAATAAAAATCAATCCTCCAGCTGCAGCTGATTCAAAATACTGCTGCTGGGGTTCTCACTAAAACAAGGAAGTTAGAGCATATCGCCCAGTTCCAAAGTACAAGAATAGACTTTAAAATAGTGTTAGTTTATAAATCACTGAACAGCTTAGCACCACAGTACATTAAAAATCTGCTTGTGTTGGATCAACCTTCCATACCTCTTAGGTCTTCTGGTTCTGCTCTTCATCAGAGTCAGAACCAAACATGAAGAAGCAGCATTCAGCTTCTACGCACCACAAATACAGAATAAACTTCCAGAAAACAACGAAACAGCCGGAATACCGAGTTCCTTTAAATAAAGACTAAAAGCCACTTGTTAAGAGTTGCTTTTGAATCATAATAAATGAAACACTGACTAACATATTTGATGTGTATTAATGACATTTGACGTTTGATGTTTTCTCAATTGTTGTGATGTCTTTTATACCTTTGTATTTTTGTGTTTTTATCATGTAAAGCACTCTGAAATGCACTTTTAAAGTGTTAACCGGCTGACTTACAGCAAGGTCTCCAGAAATGTTAGCACCAGCCAGAATCCCAGTGGCTGCGGGGAAGAAGATGGCAAAGACAGAAAAGAACGTCTCATCTCGAAAGTCTGGTCCCATGTTCTCCCACATGATTTCAGCTGAAATTAAAAAACAAGTGCAAGGAGCAGTTGTAATTGCTGCTATTAACCACTGTAAATATCTGGAATATGAAAAATTAAAGTTTGGTTAAAAAGAACAAAAAAGAACTTAGAATCACAGGCTGATCATACCATCATATCCAAGGAAGCCTGAAGGTTTCTTTAATTCCACAGAAATGAAGGATCCGATAAAGTAGTTCACAATAGCTGTGATAAGGACAACAAGCAGGAAGATCTGGGCCTAAAGAAAACAAATGACTGAATTGTTATTTCTTGAATTCTATGGAAATCAGAGGGTTACAGAGAGATATGAAAGTTTTCCAGAAACTTTGTGTTTCTATACTGTTGGTGTCAGCTGACAGGTATACCTTAGCCTCCCATTCCATTCCTGCCACAGAGATACCCAACAGAACAATTACTGTAATGGTGCCAATGATTCGGATGTCATTGATGTCATCAGTCATCAGCGCATCCACACCCTGACAGACATTTCAGGGAGATGTTAATCAAAAATGCAATGATCAGTAGGTGACTCACATTAAAACTGAATCTGCTAAATAAGTCATCACAAAAAAAATCTTTACAATGAGCAACATAGGAAATCAAAAGACTTACTTTGAGAAGTTCCACAACAGTTTCAGCAAAGCCGACTACATACATGGCCACAGCCACTGCATTGGCAAAAGCAAAGATCAGGCCAATAGAGCCTCCAAACTCTGGACCCAAACTCCTCGAAATCAAGTAATATGCTCCTCCTGCATGGAGATCAAAACATGGTGAGACTGAAGACTGAAGTCATCCAGTTTTGGAAGAAAGAGAGAGAAATCATGCAAATGAGCTCATTTTAACTTATTATGCAAATAACTGACTGCTTATTGCGACAGGTCTACTCATAACTATTTGTTTGTGGTTTCATGCTGCAATACTGTTCTACATCATAATATGGATCAAAATCAGAGAGATGATCAATGATCACAATCACATGGCATCGAAAAATGTATTCTACCTAATGTGGATCAAGGTCAGACTGAGTCTGGGTCCAAACTTGCTATGCTCTGTGGGAAACTCAGGTTTACAAGCTCCCACTAGTCCCAGTCTATGATGTGAAAGCGATCGTCAAACACTTTCGCTATTGCATCAGCACCCAGCCCACTAGAGAGAACGCCATGACCACACAAACAGAAAAGAAAAGTCACGTGAGGAACTCAGAGCTATTTCAGTTCCAGGATCCAAACTGGAACAGATACTGTACATCAGCTGCCTGCCTTAGCCTGCCTTTTAGAAGACCTAAAAGAGCTTAACATCACAAAGAGGCCTCGTTGGAGACTGCATAGTAAACTGGTTTACTGGGTTTCTGATGGGTACCGCAACACCACTTTATAAGTATGTCTGCATCTCTGTGTCGTGTCATATTTTATATATATATATCTCCTGTACCAGGTTCCAATTGTACATGAAGTTCCAAGAAGCATGGTACAAACCCACTCTGCACTGAGCATAAGGACGCCATGCAGGTACCCCCAGTAAAAATTTTAAATAGGGGGTAATCCCATGGGGCCATTGAACCAATATGAACCAACCAACTAATCAGGGAGCAAACAGATGGGAGTTTCTCTCCAGATTTACGAAGTCCTGCCATTCCACCCAGCACCAAACCACATTTACCACTCCGAATAAAGAATCAATATAGACTCAACTCACTTTCAAATTCCTTTATATTAACAATTTTAACCAATTTAAATGGGTGTTACAAATCCAGGTTAATCTAGAGGCAGACTGGGACAAGACAAATACCTCCTCGAACAAATCCATTGGTGGCTATGGCAGAAGTAGAGAGGCCAGTGATGGTTGTCACAACAGTTGCCATGCCAACAATCACACAGGCCAGAGCTGCAAAATAAAACACAAAGATGTATCATGTTAGTCATTTCAGTCAGAGCTCTATGAAGTGTTAACAGCACTTCCCCACAATCAAACCCCTCTGTAGTTACTTAGAGATTATTTTTCACATCACAGTGGAAAATCCCAGATTGTGGGCTAGTGTGATGGCTGTAGGCTTCTGAACAGACTATTGATAACTATACCACATGCCAGTGGTCTGCAACTTAGCCAGAATGTTTCCTATATCTGCAGGAGACCAGCTCTCTAACACCAGTGGTAAAATCTGGTCCTGCTCACATGCAGACAACACACATCACCAATATCATATGTGCATAAAAAAAGTCCCTTATTGAACCTCTTCTGTTCAACACCGATAAAACTGTCCAAAGGTGGAGTCCAGCAATCTGCCCCGTCTCTGTGCCCTTTAGCATTGTGCATCCAATATAGGGTTTAAGGCACCAACTGACCTGCTTCCACCTTTAGACTAAAGGAAGGACTAATGAATATCCTGAATCCAAACCAGGTCAGTGAATCCATCCAAGTTAGCTTATTATAAAACTGAAAAAATAACCATTGTTACCTTTTTTTCAGGCAACAAGGGGGAAAAGTGATTTGCCCTCATTTCTGCCAGCAGACAAACAAGGTTAAAATTTCTGAGTCTAGCTTTGAGAATTTTGGGTCCTAAACTCACACAGCCCCCCTTAGACCAGAACTGTAATCTGAAAATGTAAAATATCTTTAAAAAAGCAGCAAAACAATAGTTTACACTTGTTTGTCCATTTAACCCCTTTAAAAGGATCCAGGACTAATTGAACATGTTGGACTAAATATTTTGCAATTTTTATATTACCAAAAAAATTGCTGCTTGTAATACGCCAAAACTCATAATTGCTTCAGAATGTACATCTTTTGTTGTATTTTTCACCCATGGAGGTCGCCATTTTTTCACCGATGGGTTGATGACGTGTTTTGGTCCATTTTGTACTGGAGTCTACAGAGTAAACACAGGAAGGCTAACTTTACCGGATTAGTTGTTTATCATATTGCGTTTGACTGGTGCAATTTTAGATAATGCCACACTGTG